TGCCGGGGGGGTGTTTGGGGATAAGGGTGATTGGAGCAGGTGGAGGCTCTCAGTGGGTGTTTGGGGAGCGGGTTGGAGGCTGTTGGGTCATTGGGGGAAGACTAGGAAGGAGTTGGGCTTGCTGAGGCAGGGATATGGGAAAGGGGATTGGGATAAAGGGACAAGTGGATGGGGATGTGGAGGGCAATTGAGAAAGGGGAGACTGGCAAAGAGTGGGGGCAGGAAGTGGGGCTGGGCAGCCCCGTGCATAGTGGGGCTCTCATGAGGGGGTGTGTGGTACCCGAGGGAGGCACAGGGTGGGAGCAGTGTCTGTGCATCACCCTGGGCTCGGGTGCTGTGTTCCCCTGCTGTGTTGCCTTTGCAAACCCTCCAAACTGCCTCTCTGCTCCAAGGAACCGTCCGGAGGGCAAAGTGCTGGAGACTGTGGGGGTGTTTGAGGCCCCGAAGCAACATGGCAAATATGAGACTGGTCAGGTAAGGGGTTCTGGGGGCAGAGCTGACCCTGGTCATGCCACAGGGATCAGACAGCCGAGGGATTTCCCGTAAGGAGGCTGTTGTAGTATAGCAGAAGGCCAGAAGTTTCACAGCTCAGTGCTCTTTGTCTCTGCTGTGTCTGCAGTTTGTCAGTCATCTGACAATAGCAGGTCGATAAGAATCTGCAGCCCGACACAACAGCTCTACAATGACATTTGCTCCACTGAGGGTTCTCTCCTTCAGGGATCAGAAGAGACAATCTCTGAATTTAAGAAATAACAATTAAATTTGCCATTTCTGTGCTCACGACTCACAGCTCTATTTCTGAGCAGTCTCTCCTGTGCTGGTCTCCTTTCTGCTGCTCTATTACTGATTTAGTCCCCTTTTATGGGATAGATGTTACATGGATTTCTCCTCTCATCCCTGACTGTTCGTGCTCGCTGTTTCTGCTTTAGTTTCTCACAGTGGTGATTCTCCCTGTATCCCCATCCCACGCATTCAAACTCTTTGTAAACTTTTCTAGTTTTACCTCAGTTAACAGATCTTTTAAATATTATCAGAAAAGGGCTTTTGGCTTCATGTTTTCTGTTGTATCTATGTTGATTAAAGCTTACTGTGGATTCAACTTGCAATTGTTTGTTCCTTTCAGCTCTTCCTGCACAGTGTGTTTGGCTATCGAGGAATAGTCCTGTTTCCCTGGCAAGCCAGGCTTTATGATCGGGATGTGGCTTCTCCTGTCACAGAAAAGTAAGGATTTGAGGGTTTGTTCTGGCTTATGTTGCTGTACTGTTACATTTTCATTTTGTAGCAAGTTTCCTGGTCGGGGTAAACAAATGTTTTTAAGGAGGCCAATGGTCTGTTTGCACGAATGTAAAGTAGGAGAGGTGCTTAAAGAGATATTGCAGGTGTATTAATTTTGTGTTAACTAGAGATGGGATGAAAGTATATGTGTGTGTGAAGGAAATAAAAAACAATTAAAAATTCATGCTCCTGGCATTTTGCTTTATAAAAAACCCACCCATTTTGAGTTAGCTCCAGGTTCCTGTGTTCCAAATTGCAGGCTGCTGCTGCTCCTTCTGTAAACTGCCAGTGAGTTGGATTTGTCAGCCTCCTCCCCAGCTTCAACCCACTAGGCCAAGTTCATCCTTCTTGAATTGCTGTTTGGTTCTCTCCCCTCTTGCATCTTTTTCCCTGTGATGAGGTGTGCTAGGAAGGATCAAGCATAGGAATACCCATCCCAGAGAGGAGACTGGACTGAGCAGGAAGAACCTCTGAGCTGTCTGACAACAGAGCTGTTGTGTCTCTGCCAAACACTGTCAGTGCGCATCTTGGCTGATCTGTCTGTAATTGTGTGGGTGGCTGACAAGGATTTGGTTTGGATGGAATCAAATGTTTACAGACTGTGAAATGTATTTATTTTTAAAAAACCATTGTTTGTGTACGTGCTTGGTTCTGGTAACAAGAAATTGCTGCAATCCTGCACTTGAGCTCAGAGCTCTGCTTTTCTGTTTAGGAACGAGAATGTGGCAGGCCATGGGTCCAAAGAGGTCAAGGGCAAAACACACACTTACTACCAGGTGTTAATAGATGCCCGGGATTGTCCACATATAGTAAGTAAGGAGTAAACTTGGTATTGAAACTCAAGTGTCTTCTTATATGTGAGTGGGTCAGGTGGACAGGCACTGAAAGAAAATGGCTGTGGTGGCTAAATTTGGCTAGGACGAATTCGTTCTTCAAGACATATTTTCCCTGAGAAAGGTACACTGGAATGTCATATGACTGTTTTCTGGATCGTGTTTCCCCTTTCCAGCCTCCTTTCCTCATCCTGTTATCGTTCCCACTCTGTTGCATGCACATTGTGAATGTGGGTTGCAGCACTGAAAATGCTCCTCACTTGTTAGTCAGTCTAGAGGAATGAAAAGGAGAGGTGTTCTGAGGTGAATTGGTTAAATAAACATTTCATGCTTTACAAACCACAACAGTAAATTGAAGCATGGCTGGAAACTGGCCCACAACAGTCCACACAGAAAGACATAAGCTTCCCTTTTTCTCAGTCCCAGAGATCACAGACGGAAGCAGTGACGTTCCTGGCAAATCACGACGACAGCAGAGCCCTCTATGCCATCCCAGGTGAGCAAAATCCTCCTTCAGCCTCTGATTGTCGTGAGGGGAGGTCAGAAGAGTCATCAGTGGTCAGCTCCTGCCAGCAGCAATTCCTACAAGACATTCCTGTTGTGGATTTGTCCGTAGTTTAGGGCCGGGCAGGAAACAACTGAGTGATTAAAGTACATGAAGCCCTTTGGAGAGCTGGAAGTTGGGCACTCTGTGATCAGACACAGCTGTGCCTGATTTAATCTCTAGACATAGGTCCCATACAAAGTTGCATATAGGCTGTTCTCTGTTTGGGGCAGTGCAGGCACTTTGCAGGCAGTGTGTGTTTATGACAGCAATCATTCCATGGAGAAATCTCACAGGAGAATGCTGCCAAGGGATATTGCTGACCTATTTCCTCCATTCTTGGTTGCAGTCGTGGTATTAGCTTTGCCTTCTGCTGACAAAGTCCTTTTCTTAACTTGTCACTAGTGTGATCCGTTTTTCTGCCAGGAGACTTCCGAGCTGCTCTTTCGCTGGGGAAGTTCCAAGGCTTTTGGGGTTTCTTTTTCAGGTTTAGACTACGTAAGCCATGAAGATATCCTTCCCTACAGCTCCACTGATCAAGTGCCCATCCAGCATGAGCTCTTTGAGAGGTTCCTCATGTACGACCAAACAAAAGGTAATTTCTGGCTTCACGGGGAACTCTTCTGAGCCAGATGCCCGAGGTGCTCTGTAACAAGTGCTCAAAACCCATCGTCTTGGATATAGTGTAAAAATGATATCTGGTTTGGAGTTTGTTACAGTAAAGCCACCTCTCAGTAATTTTTTTAACTTGAAAGGAGTTACTTTGAGGGGAGAGCACTCCAGGTACAGTATTGCCTCTCATAAACTCTCACTTTTCCTTCCCCATAGTCCCACCTTTTGTAGCAAGGGATACTCTATGTGCATGGCAGGAGAAGAACCACCCCTGGCTGGAGCTCTCTGATGTGCACCGAGAAACCACGGAGAACATCCGCGTCACAGTCATCCCTTTCTACATGGGCATGAGGGTAGGTGTGTGCTGCATGTTGGTGTGTTAGTTCTGCCATCTGCTTAACTGACATGTTTTTCTAAGGCCAGTTTACTGACTTAGGGTACTTTCTCCTTACTGGAGAAATGACATTTTAATCGCAATTAATGACTGAAATGACTTTAATCACTGTTGCAATTTCATTCTCATGATGTGCGGCAGAGGTGTGAACAGGAAACTGTTTTGTCATGCATTTTTGGAGAACAGCCCCTGTATTTTGGCATTTGCTTGTTATCGGTAGGATGGGAATTACCCTGTAATGTTCTGCAGAGCAGCGCTAGCAAGATATTTAGGAAGGCTTGTGAATTAGTCCTGTACTGCCTCACTCAGAGATGGGTGGGCATGAGGTGGCACTGGGGCCATCTGCCCTGCAACGACAGACACATCTGTTATCCTGCCCAGTGGTGGGCTGCGAGTGTCTGCCTGTTTCCTGGCTCCAGTGTGGGTTAGAGGGTTTGGCTGAAGCCTTCTGGATTTAGCTGATAACCATATGCTCTTTATAGCATAAGAACTTCATGTGGACCATCCGAAATAATGAGGCTCCAACAGACTCCTGAGCGGGAGGGCTGGGAATTCCCACAGTGCTTTGATTTCTGAGCACAGCTGCCAGGGACTCCGTGCTGTGGCAGGTGGATGTTTTGGTGTGGATTTGCAACTTCTGTGGAGCCCAACTGATGTTTGTCCCAACCTTGTCAGAAAAACAGGTGCCTGAAGGCAAGGAGACGGGTGTTTCTAGATCTGTAGAAAGTGCGTAATTAACACGGAGCTCAACCCTGGGTTGTCATGAGATCTTTGCAAATCTCCCACTTCGTGATTACATGTATAGAGCAGAGCCAGTCCCAGGCTGTGCTGATGGATGGCCTTGGAGAGCAGCTGTCTGTGCTCATGTGAGTTGTCTGCGTCAACCTGGCACGGAGCGAGAGCCCCTGTGCTGGTGCTGTGCTGACAGCTGAAGAGGTTTTGGCACCGTGTGTTGAAGGGCAGCTGCTAAAGTCTTTTGTTTCTTTTGACAGGAAGCCCAGAATTCCCATGTCTACTGGGTAAGTGACTTTTGTTTCACGGAGCAGCTAAAGGGAAGGAGTTTATTTGCTGTGGCATCATTGCTGTGTGATAAGCTCTGAGGGAGAGTAGCCCTTGCCTGGCAACTGTTTCCCAGTATCGGCTGTGGGTTATCAACTGGCTGCAGCTGATTCCAGTCCTTGATAGCAGTCTTTCTTCTGTCCAGTGGCGCTACTGTATTCGCTTGGAGAACCTTGACAGTGAAGTGGTTCAGCTCCGAGAGAGGCACTGGAGGATATTTAGCTTGTCTGGCACCTTGGAAACGGTCCGGGGCCGTGGCGTTGTAGGAAGGGTAAGTATCATGCAGCCTTTTTTTTTTTTTGGGAAGCACAGCCCTTTGCTGGAGCCCTCTCGGTTGGTTGGGTTGATTTGCCAGTGAATTGCTTAGTGGGCAGTGGAAATAGATGGAATGGGAAACTGGCAGTGAAAAGAGTCACAAGCTTTTCGTCTGTTGTTAAGTCTGCATGAACCAAAACTTCACACTGAGTATTAGAGAATGATCCTAAATGACTGGTGATGGGAAAACTGGAATAATAACAGAATTCTGGCACTACTCACTGGGCGAGTTGTTTGCTGTGTAATTGGTAGTGGTGCTGAGGTGTGGGTCTCTGGGTTTGGTTTTTTTCATGCTATATAAATTTCCTGTTGATGCCCGTCTTTGGAAGAATATTAAGATTTGTTGCTGATGCCCAGTGGTCTTCTGTCTCCTCAGGAGCCAGTTCTGTCCAAAGAACAGCCAGCATTTCAGTACAGCAGTCACGTCTCCCTGCAGGCTTCCAGTGGTCACATGTGGTAAGAAGCCCTTATTACTGAAGGAGTGTTTTAGATGTGGGACCTCACAGTGGTGAGCTTTGCAGCCTGGAGTTATGGCTGAAAGCTGTGTGGAAGTGGACTGGATGGGACATATTTAGTAGCTAAAATCTGATGAGCTTCTCTCCAGCTGGATCCTGGTTAGTGATAAGATGATCTGTTGATTCTCTGCACCAGGACAGGTTCTAGGCTAATTTATTCTCCTTCTGCGGTCTGTACTAGACTGGATTTGAAGATACAAATCAATTCTCTATCATCTTCTGCTGTAGTCAGCTTCTGTCCCTTTCACTCCATGGTGCAAGAAGCAAGGCCTTGTGCTGGTGATTCCCTTGGCAGCAGGGATGTGGGTACTGGTATCCCTCTCCTGGGAAAGGACTGGGCTTTAACTCTATCCCTATGCAGTTCTGTGTCCACAAGGAATTGGCATACAGGGTTTTTCCCAGTGTAGACCAGATAAGGCCTTCAGTCTAACTGATTTTCAAGCCTCCTCTTCCGTGAGAGCGGGTAGGGAAGTGCTCAGCAGAGCTGTTCTTTCCCTGTACCACAGGGTTAAAGCAATTTCCCTTTATTTGCATTTTGGCTGTGTTAGCACATTTAGTGTCAGCTCTCTGTGGACAAGGAATGCACAGACACTTCTTGTCTTCTGTATGACAGGTCTTTCTGGTGTGCATTTTTTAATCTGCTTCAGAGCTAAGCTGCCTTTGAGTTGGGAAAAGCAGGAGAGCAGCTCTTTGCATATAGGATACACTCTGGTTTGCCATGTCAAGCATTTTGAATTGCCTGAATGCATGCCCTGGGAAATGAAACCAGATGATCTAGTAGTTTTTTCCCTCCTGCACACTTTCTGAAGGGAAAGAGGCAAAGGTTCTGTAGCTCAGAAGCTGCTCAGCTTGATTTCTGGTGTTCAATTGTGTTCTCTCTGTCCTGAGAACCTATTGGTTTATCCCCATGATCCTTGTGCCCATATCATGTCCTGCAGTACAGTTGGCTGTTGTTCAGAGCTGTAAACAAATTCGTTGTACAAGGACAGGCGGGTTCAATTCTGAAATGCAAAGCAGAAGCTATTCCAAATTACATCTGTGATGGGATTTCTTGTTGTCACAGATGACTTAACAAGTGGAACTTCTGCCAAGGAATACAAACCTGAACTTACGTGTAATCAGTTTGTAAAAATAACTTGGATGGTTCTGTCTCCTGTGGAGTGGGAGTTGGGTGAACACTGCTGCAGGTGCATGGAAGGTGCTTGCCTCCTAGGGGCTCCAGTCATCACAGCTTGTGCAGGAAATGTGTTAGAGATGTGATGTGAAACCACCCAGGAGTCCTCAATAAATGAGTCATCTTGGCAGCGGATGTTCCTGCTGCTGAACTCGTGTCCTTGCTGCTGGACCAGCCTTGCAGACGAACCCTCAGAGTCCCTGCACAGGATATGGAAGAGCTCATGTCTTACCTTCTTGCTGATACTTCCTAGATGTGTTTGTCCCTGGCCTCAGTGTCATCTCTGCCATTATTTTGCAGGGGTACTTTTCGATTTGAGAGGCCTGATGGCTCCCACTTTGATGTCCGAATTCCACCCTTTTCTCTGGAAAGTAACAAAGACGAGAAGACCCCTCCCTCCGGCCTTCACTGGTAGATCAGAGCGAGTGCTGAGACCCACAGAGGCCTGTGTGTGTTGTAGACCTTTGCCTCCCCATTTATGCTGCAGCCAAGAACACGAAGCTTTTAAACATTTTAAACCATTTTTGTTTTAACTGTTGTCTGATGGGGAGGCTTTTTGGAACTTTAATACTGGCTCTCTCAGGCTGCTTGTAAAACGTAAGCTGTGTTACAGGTAACCCTTCCCTTTGTGGCACCTGCTGGGGTTGGAGCTGGGGGATGTAGATGGTGCTGCTGCAGAAGAACTGGCCCCCCTCGGCAGGCCTGGACCCTTTCCAATGTGTTGTGACTTCTCTGCAATGTGAGGTTTCTCTAATAAACTGGCCCTTCCAGTTGCAACCAGTCTTCCTTCATAAACCAAGGCCTTGGCTTTGCATCCAGCCTGTCCCAGCTTGTTGCTCCCCTGTGTGGAGTCAGCCCAAAGTTCTTGCCGCTTCAGAAGGCAGCAGTGAAGCTGTTTTAGGGAGCAGGAATGTGAGCTCAGCATCCCTGCAGTGCAGCTGCTTTTTGGGATTCAGCCAGGGCTAGAGCAGCCCGTGAGCTCCACTCCTCATGGCACTGGGCTGTGTGCTGTGATGTGAAGCCTGTTTTTTTGGACAAGAGGGTGCAGAGGGGACAAGGTGGGTGACAGGTGGTGCTGAGCAGGTGCTGTCACAGTGTCCTGTGTGTGGTGACCACCAGGCTGTGTGTTATGATGGTACAAGAGAGCTAAAGGGAGCCCTCCCCCTGCCAGGGCTTGCCTTGCTGCAGGGATTTATATCCCAGCTGCTGGGAGAGTTCTTCCCTGCTCACGTTGTGGCTGTGTCCATATTTCCTTGGTTGTTTCTGCTTTGAGAGGAAGAACTTGTTTTCACTTGAAGTGCTGTCAGCCTGGGTGAGGTAGTGCTTGGCTTTCTGCTCCTGTTTGCTCAGACTGTGATTTTCTGGTAGTGTGTGTGAAGGGCCCTGCAGAGCTGTGCAGGTCACTGTAAGCCTATGATATATGGATGTTAGGGAATTTTTACACATGGAGGGCCAAGTCCACAGTGCAAGTCAGGTGTTGGTTCTTCTTACAAGCTCGAGCAGCTCTCAGGAGCTTTGAGGATTGCAGATATCTAGAGAGGTATCAGCCTTTGTGGTGGGACCCTTCTGGCTGTCTCTGGGCATCCAGACATCTGAGTGACTTGCAGGGGCAGAGGGCTTTGTGGTAGTCCTAAGCAGAAAGTTTCCAACCTTGCTCCTTCCCCTGGTCTTGCTGAAATGATAAGGTATAACTTCACTCATGGGATGTTTTTCTTGATTTAGAAGTATCTTAGTTATTCCCTCTTCCCCCACGTCCCCTCTGAGCAGCCTCTTTGCATTTGGCTCTGCAAGGCAGAGCTGTGGCACTGCTGTGGGCTGTCTTGGCTGATGGACAAACAGCCTTGACAGTGGGAGAGATCCTCATGCTCTCTCACAGCCAGCAGATTCCTGTGTAGAGAGACTTATTACTACAGTGTTTATCTGTCATTGGTCTCTTCATTTTGTGTCTTCCTTCCTCTCAGGTAGTACAAGCTAATATTTAGAATTTGAAAGGTTTAAACAGCCAGTCTGCTTTTAAAGGTAGAAAAGGATCCCTGAAGACCAGCCCACAGCTGACATGATCATGACATGATCAGTCATCCTGATTTCCTCATAGGAGGAAAAGGGGTGGGGGGAAGATGCCTCAAGTTCAGAGGCAGCAGGGATCTGCAGGAACCTGCTATTTCCCTCCCATGCAGTTGCTTGGTTGGGGTGGGAGTAGCAGCTGCTCTGCCTTTCCCTCGGGTTGCTCCAGCTTTACTGGCAATTGCAACACCACTGTCAATGTTTAACCCTGCTGCTCACCCGCGTGTTTCTGGGGTGCTGTGGCCCTAATGCTTCCCATAACAAGCAGAGAGCTGTTATCCTACAGGATGGAGTAGTCCTTGGGCAGGGGCTCTGCCAGGGTCAGCCTCAGCAGCTGTGAGGTGCCCATGAGTGTCTTTGGTGTGATATGCCCCTGGGGCTGGGGAGGGCTGAGGCCTCTTCGTAGGAGCAGACATTCCTGGCTGGATAATGATTGGCAAGACCGAGGTCACCAGCGGTCACCAGCGCTGCCGGTAACAGACGGGGTGAGGCATGGTAGGAATGTTTCTGCTCTATCAGTCTTTGCGGAGTGGGCAGTGCCCGACCTGCCTGGGAGCCTGGCTGCCATGCCAGGGGCTTGGCAGGGCCTTTCCCCAACTGCTTCATCCCTCAGGCCCCTTCCTGGAGCGCTGTCCCTCTCTGTGTAAATACCTCTGTACAAAGAACCAACCAATAAAGCGCTGAAGGAACGGCTCTGGCTCACGGCTCTCATTGCCCGCGGCACTACGGGCACCAACCTCACTCCCCTCTCCTCTGATACCAAAGAGCAGCAGAAACAAGCTTCTCAACACCAATTTGTAGATGTTAAAAAGGGCATTCCTCTTTATTCAGCATGCTGGACGTTCGGAGGATAGCTCCTCTAATCCGAACGTGCCAAGTGACACGGACAGGGCTTTTTATTACACATACTGTTTACATGTTCATTAGGTATTCTCCTTTACTTAATACATATTCATTAGGATTTTTTACATAGCAACTCCCCTTTTGGAAAGTCCTTTGGTCCTTCCGAGTCTTCCTCGTCGTTTTGACCTCAGCGCTGGCGCAGGCACAGCGTCATTGTGCTTCACCCCCAAACCCTGAAACGTTTGTTCTTTATTTTATCTGGGCACACAGAACTTAGTTTACGTCCGGTTTGTTCGAGTTACATCCCTCATCCATCTAACTCTCGAGGGCTTATTCTAAGATTACATTGTTCCTTATTTGGGCATTCCGGGGTACTGTGAGTGAAGTTTCTATTTCTCCTCTCACCTCTCCTTCCCGGGGCTCGCCCCGTGCCCTGTCCCGGGGGGTGGGAGGGTGTCTATCCCGGGAGTCCCTCCCCTCTCTCCCCCGTCCCTCCCTCTCGCCCGCCACGTGGGTCGCTGCGGGGCCTCCCGGCGCGCCGGAAGTGACCGGCGGCCGCGCTGGGTGATGGTGATGGCGCGCGGGCGCGCACCGGCCCGCGGCCGCTGAAGCAGCAGAACAAGGCGCATCAATGGCGGCAAGTCACATGCGGCTCCTCGCAGCGCCCGCGCCGGAGGTGAGCTCCCCGTCCCCGCGGGACGAGCTTCCCCTGCCGGCCCCCGGCCCGGCTCTGACCGTTCTTCTCTTCCCCCGCAGGGCCGCGTCCCCGTCAAGGCCCAGCCCCGCCGGCGCCTCCGCGCATCTCAGCAGGGTAGACCGGGCGGCACCAGGGCCCTGCAGCTCCGCGGCAGCGCATAGGAGGCGTGTGAGGGGCCCCCGGGGGGGAACCGGGCGGGGCGCGGGCTGGTTGCGGGGCTGTGGGTGGAGCGGGGAGCGGGTCGGTTCGGGTGTTTGCCGGAGGGGGTTGGAGTGGGGCCGGTGCGGGTCTCGATGTGGGTGATGGAACTGAGCCGGTTTGGGCATATGCGGGGAAATGAGGAGCTGTGCCAGGGAAAGGAGTGGGTGCCTGAGCCAGTTCTGTTTGAGGCAAGCGGAGCATTACTGGACCGAGCGGGTTCGGGTGGAGGTGTGGAGTCTGTTCTTGATCCATGGAGGCGGGACAGGAGCTGGGCTGTGGGCCGGGACTGATGCTCTGCAGTGGTGCCCACAGGTGCTGGCAGAGAAGCGAAGCCTGGGCAGCAGGGATGGGCCCCCGCACCTCGTGGTTGTGGTGCAGCTGCACAGCAGGGCTGCAGCCCAGGACACCCTCCGGCTGCTGCAGAGCCAGGACTCGGCCGTGGTCCGTGTGGATGAGGGGAGAGCTGGTGGCTTTGCCCTCCTCTGCCCCCGATTCAAGCAGCGCTGGCGCTTTGTCACAGCACAGGCAGGTGAGGAAGCACAGCTGTGGGTCAGGCTCTTGGCTCCACACCCCTGGCAGCCCCAGTAAATACGTGTTCTGTGTGCAGGGGACCTTCACGCTGTCTTAGACCTTGCCAAGGTCGCTGACTCCCTCCTGTTCATCCTGGACCCTGTGGATGGCTGGGACAGTGCAGGGGAGCACTGCCTGTCCTGCCTCTTCGCACAGGGGCTCCCCAGTTATGGTGAGCCAGCAATGTTGAGGGGTTTGGGGGGGGTGTGGAGGTACTTGATGGGGATTTGCTGTTGCAGTAATTAAAAACTCCACTTGTTAATAGGCTATCACAGGTCCTTGATCTGTTTCTGTGCACAGATCAGTTGGGTGAATGCCGTTCTCGTGGTGCCTTGTTGTGTTACTCCATGGTGTGGGAGTACTGGAGATAAAAGGGTGTTGTGGGTTGAGGCCCCTGGGTGTGTGGTGGTGTCAGCACTGTGATGGTTATGAAAGTGTGCAGAGCTAAGGGATTCAGACACTTTCTTGCTAAATTCAGTTCTTGTGCCCTTATCTCTAGGGTCTCATTTAATCTCGGAATCTTATTTCTGAAAACAGGTTTTGTGTCTCAGATGTTCTTTTGAATGTGTGAATCACATAGGGTTGGAAGGGAACCCCCCTGTCAAGGCAGGGTACCTAGAGCAGGTGACACAAAAATGCATCTAGGTGGGTTTGGAATGTCTCCAGACAGAGAGACTCCACACTCCCTGGGCAGCATGTTCCAGTGCTCTGCCACCCTCCATGGAAAGAAGTTCCTCCTGATGTTGAGGTGGAAGTTCTTGTGTTTTTAGTTTATAGCCATTGCTTCTTGTCCCATCACTGAGCACCACTGAAAAGAGCAAAACTGCCATTGCACCTTGGGGTGCAAATCTGGTTATTTGGGTTGCTGATACCTGAGTGCTTATCTTTATTTGGTAAAAGGGGCATAAGAAGGTTTACGATCTGATCCTGAGCTCTGTTCTCTGCTCGGCAGCTCTTGCTGTCCCAGGGGGCTCCGACTTGCCCCCTAAGAAGCGGATAGATGCCAGGAAGAAGCTTGCCAAAGCCACTGAGAAGCGCTTTCCCGAGGCCAAGCTGTTCCCCCTGAACACGGAGCAGGAATCCTCGCTGCTGCTGAGGCACCTCAGCACCCAGAAGCAGCGTCACCTCGCGTTCCGGGACCGGCGCGCTCACCTGCTCGCCTACGCTGCTGAGTTTGTGCCTGGTCAGGAGAGCGACCTGGTTGGGACCCTGAAGGTGTCTGGCTTTGTCCGGGGACAGACCCTCGATGTGAACAGCCTGGTGCACATTGTGGGGCATGGAGACTTCCAGGTCAGCCAGGTGGATGCTCCCCCTGACCCCCTCTCTTTGAACCCCCGAGTGGTTAAAGGACAGAAGAGGAGTCAGGACATGGAGATACAGGTGGGTGTGGGGCCAAGGGCTTTGCCAGTCCTGTTAGAACACGAGGTTTCTAAACTTCCATGGGGAAAATACAACTGGGTGTATGTGGGCAAGGGGAGGGGAAAGGGAGTTGTATCTGTGTTGTGCTGCAGGGCTGAGGTTCCTTGCCTGCTGCATGTAATGAACGTTATGGCACGACAATAACGAATGTGATTCTGAAAGCAGTTTACTTGAGATGGATTGCAGAGCTTTAATTAGGTGTGTTCAGAGTTGGGAACTCTGCTCTTGCTCTTCAGGAGGACCCTGTAAATGGTACTGATGAGATGGAGGAGGATGTTAAGGTCCTGATGAAGGCAGATCCAAGCAAGCAGGAGTCTTTGCAGTCAGAAGTGGTTCCCGATCCAATGGAAGGGGAGCAGACGTGGCCTACTGAAGAAGAACTGCAAGAAGCAGAGGGTGTGTAGCAGCAATAGTTCTGTCTCTTTTCCTTGTTGCTGTTAAGAGGGTTGTCAGAAACCTCTGTCACCAGGATGGCTCTGAAGAAGCATCCTATTTGGAAGTCCAGGGTTTCCATTCCTAGTTCCATTACCTGACCAGCAGGCTGTGTGGTTTGCCTGGGAAGTTAGCAGGGTTACATTTTGGCTGTCCTGACAAATTCTGTGTTGGGAAGTAACAGTTGTGGTGTAGATCTGATCTTGCCTGTCCTGGTGCAAATGTTGCTGAGGAGAAGGAGAATTGTTCCTGTATTAACCACTGGTGGGAATCCTACAGATTCTCTGAAGGCAAACAGGAGGGTGGTGAAGGTCCCCAAAGGCACATCCAAGTACCAGGCTGCCTGGATTGTGGATGATGGAGAAGAAGGCAGTGAGAAAGATGATGATGAAGATGATGACATCGATGATGATCTGATGGAAGAGGCAGTTTCCCAGGTACGTCCAAGAGCTGATAGTACAGGTGATCTCCAGGGCATTATTGCATATTCTAGGACAGTCCTGTCCTTCCAGCTTGCTCCATGCAAGGGCATGACACAGAGCCAGGACTTGCCTGGATTTCCACGGTCAAATCTCTCATGTGTATCATGGTACATCTTTGGCCTGTTAGACACCAAACTGAGGGGCTAGGGTCTCTTTGGGGTCACAGATCACACAGTGTGAGCACACACAGGGTTTCAGTGCTGCATGGACAGCTCTGTGTTCACGGGCTCTGTGCTGCCCTGTGTCAGGAGGGGGAAAGCAGCGAGGAGGAGCCTGGAGAGGAGGAGAGCGAGACCATGACCGTTTCCGAGTGCTTGCGGGATGACCAGTACGACGAGAAGATGGAGGAAGATGATGCTGGAGAGATACAAACAGCAGAGAATGGATGAAATGTTTCCAGATGAGGTGGATACACCACGTGATGTACCTGCCAGAGTCAGGTAACAACTGGGATGCTTTCCAGAGGAGCTGAAAGGTGCCTTTCTGTCTAGTTTGGTGAGGAAGCCTATGATGTCTTAGCCGTGGTGTCTGAACCTGGCTGAAGGATTCTTGTGAAGACTCACTCTTAGGCTCTGAGGCTTCCAGGGCAGGCACTAGTTGGGCCAGCAGGTGGGCCTGGGTAGCACCTTGCAGCAGGGAGAGCTGGGTCCTGGGCTGGGAGTGGGAGGAGGGTGGCCCTGATGCAAGGGCAGGTTATTTAGGGAGTTGACTGCTGTTTTTAGCTCTCTCTGCACTAAGATCTTTCTTGAGGGTTAGCGTTTGCTTTGCTGTCTCTGAAGGTGTGAGTCCCTGTGCACCACAGGAGGTGCTGGTCACACACCTCCATTGGTGAAGGTTTGTCTTTCCTATTTATTCTCTAGGTTCCAGAAGTACAGGGGGTTGAAAAGCTTCCGGACTTCCCCATGGGACCCCAAAGAGAACCTTCCAAGGGATTATGCCAGGATTTTCCAGTTCCAGGACTTCTCCCGAACCAGAAAGCACCTCTTCCGTCAAATAGAGAAAGAGGAGACTGAAGGAGCCTTGGTAACTCTCTTTTGCTGATCTCTTTCCCTACTGTATTCCTTTGCTCCTAACAGGAATGACTTAATCAGGCAGGTGTTCATAGCACGCAGCCCTAAGTTCAGATGAGGATGTTCTCCTGAATTCCCTCCCTAACTCAGGCACATCTTATTTTTGACGCTTTTTTTGCTTGAGAAAAATATTCACAACTTATCCTCTGTTGGCAGGTGGGCTGGTACATTACACTTCATGTCTGCAATGTCCCTGTCTCGGTGATGGAGAGCTTCAAGGAAGGGAAACCCCTAGTCCTGTTCTCCCTACTTCCCCACGAACAAAAGGTGACTGTATGGCCCTGCTGATAGCTTGTAGGTGTGCAGCTCCTTGGGATTGCCTCGGGTTGGAGGGGATCTGGGCTGAAATCTCCCTGCATTGCTCATGTTTCAAAGTAGAGAATTCCCTTTGGTCAGAGCAGGCGGAAGCTGCCCGGTGGTTTTAGGATAGAGTGTCTGAGCTTGGCACTGGGGACCAGTGAGGCTTCAGGAAGCCATTCTCAAAGACATTCATGTCTGCTGCAATGTCCTGCTGCTTTCTGCTGTGCACCATTGCCTGCTAGCCCTGCTATCAGCCCCTCACTGTGCTGCATCTTGCAGATGTCTGTGTTGAATTTCCTGGTGCATCGGCATCCAAGCAACACCGAGCCGGTGAGAGCCAAGGAGGAGCTGATCTTCCACTGTGGGTTCAGACGCTTCCGAGCATCCCCTCTGTTCTCCCAGCACACCTCAGGTTTGTGAGGGACTGGGCACAGGTGCACCAGGAGGTGGGGCTGGGGATTCTGGGGCAGGAAGCCAGTGATGTCTTAGCCATGGTGTCTGAACCTGGCTGAAGGATTCTTGTGAAGACTCACTCTTAGGCTCTGAGGCTTCCAGGGCAGGCACTAAGTTGTGGGGAGTGGAAGGGCTTGGGCCAGGTGGCTCACTGGTCCAGGCAAGGTGGTGGCAGACTCCACACAGTGAACTGGTAGTTCAGAGGAGCACCTTTTTTTCCCAGATGCTCTGTGCCAGCAATGGAGGGGTGTTTGTCACCTCTTTTTGTAAGGTGCAGAGCCTGTTTCCTGGGTAAGAATGGGCTCAGTGGAGTTTCCCAGAGCTCTGAGGACTGCTGTCAGCTTGATCATTGCTGTTCTGTCCTAGCTGATAAGCACAAGCTGGAGCGTTTCCTGCGCCCGGATGCTGCCCTGGTGGTGACTGTTTATGCTCCCATCACTTTCCCTCCTGCCTCAGTGCTGCTTTTTAAACAGAGAAGTAATGGTAAGTTGATAAATGCTGAGGATGTGGTGTCTGGGAAACAAACGTTAGCAGACTGTTCCCATCCCCTGCTTACAAGTGCATCTCTCCAGAAAGTATGACTTGAAAAAGCTGTCCCTTTCCTGCTGTTTGAGAAGATAAGCCCAGTCTCCATCCCCATTATCACATTTATCTGTCCCTGCTGTGGGGTTGCTCTGGGCCTGGAACCCTTTGGGGAAGGGGGTTGTGGTGGGGGAGGCAGTGATGGAGGCACCTGCCCCAGTGCAGTGGTGGCTCTGCCTTGCAGGAATGCACGACCTCATTGCCACGGGCTCTCTGCTCTCCGTGGACCCCGACAGAATCGTCATCAAGCGGCTGGTGCTCAGTGGCCACCCCTTCAAGATCTTCACCAAGACGGCTGTCGTGCGGTACATGTTCTTTAACAGAGGTATGGCTTGTCTCTGTGGTGGGAAGAGGGGACGTGGAGGCAGAACCCCTGCTCCTGTGGAAGCAGTTGTGTTGTGGGCTGCACCCCTGCTCCTGTGGAAGCAGTTGTGTTGGTGCAGCCCAGCCTGTTCCTCACCCGCCTTGTCATGTTTGATCTCCAGAGGATGTGATGTGGTTTAAGCCGGTGGAGCTGAGGACAAAGTGGGGACGTAGGGGACACATCAAGGAGCCATTAGGTAGGTTTGATCCTGTATTTATCTCTGTGTTGTTGGGATGGTGTGGTTCTTCTGGGCAGGAGAGACTGCTAATGGCCTCTTCTGCTCTCTGCCTAGGGACCCATGGCCACATGAAGTGCCACTTTGATGGACAGCTCAAGTCTCAGGACACGGTGCTGCTGAACCTCTACAAGCGCGTTTTTCCTAAATGGACTTATGACCCCCATGTTCCGGACTCTGTGCCGTGGGTGAGGAGTGAGAGTGCGCTGCCAGAGCAGGAGGTGGAAATGGAATGAGTCTCCAGCATAGCTGGAGTTTGTGCCTTGGCTCCCTGGATGCTGTTCTTGCCTGTGCACAGTGAGGACAGCACTGATGCCTTGGACGTGTTACTGCTGGGGTCTGTAACAGGGGCAGCTGTCTCGCCAGCTGCTGCTCAGGTACCAGCTATAGCTATTTATTTTAATGGAAAATGTCAAAAATATTTAAGTGCCTTTGTCTTGGTGGTGGCCAGGAGGCTGTGTGCACCCCTTGTCTGCTGAACCCCTTGTCCCATAGGGGTTGTTTCTTTCCCTCATGCCCTGCACATGGTGTGTACAGGGATTTTGCTGTACAAAGGACAGAAATTTGCTGCCAGTTCCTGTGATGCTGAGAAAGAAAAGCTGAGTAGCAGCTGGGGAGGGTGACTGAGTGCAGGTCTCTGGAGGCCTGTCCCAGAACAGGGCAGCTGGGAAGGGGGGAACAGGCAGTCCTTTGTTTCCAGGCCCCCCTCAGAGATCAATGCCAGCTTCCCTTATCCCTCCACAAAAATTACCAAATGTTCAGGGTTGTTCATTTGTTTTTAGTAGCATGCAAGCCACTGTACAAATTCAGAGTGAGGATTCCACTGCTTGAGACACTGCTCTGTACTCATTCTGCTTTCCCAGAGAGGTCTGTGAGCCAGGTCAGGGATCTCAGGTCCACGTTTCCCCCGCACAGCACGACGCAAACATTCTCCACGTCCTGGGGGACTGCCTGGAACTTCTCCGAAAGCACAGCCGCCAGTCCTACTCCTGCTGTTGGCTCAATCAGCAGCTTCATCCTTTCCCACACCAGCTGCGTGGCTCGCTGTGGGGCCAGAGCAGCAGCTGTCAGCCCAGCAGCCGGGACAAGCTGCTCCAGGGCTGGGAGGGCACTGCGTGAGCACATCCCTGCAGAGCCCTGGGAAGGGAGAGCCCTTTCCAGCTGGAGACAGCGTAGGTGTCAGACAGCTGTGGTGGTGAGCAGGGGCCTGTGCTGTCCTGGGAGTGTGTTAGGGTGGGAGCAGAGGGGCAGAGTGGGAATGGAGGCAGCTGCCTGCTGGCAGCTACTGTGAGAAGGGAACTGGGAGCCTTTACCTTGATTTCTTCCTCTGAGACTGTCAGGACATCATCAACCAAATCCCTGATGATGGGCCACGTGTTTGGTCCGATGCTGGTTTTAACGGCATCTGCGATGGTATCCCGCGGGTGGACGTTGGGGGTCAGCTCCCCTCTTACCTTGGACTGGTAACAGTCATCCACGTTGCTTGGCTCAGCAGCAAACACCTTCACATCTGGTCTCAAAGCCTGGCGAGAGAAGGAGGAGCCACTTGGTTGACAACTGGTATTTGCCTGTCTGCTGTCCCAGTGAGTGCAGGACTGGGCAGGGACCCCAGGCACCCACTGATTTTCACACCAGGGTCTCTCCAAAGTTAAAAGCTTTTGCCTGCCTTGGGAGCCCTGCCCTTCCCAGAAGGAGGTGCAGCCACTGCTGCCCAAATGAGTTGTTGCCTACCTTGATGGCAACTGCTATTCCTGCAACCATTCCTCCACCTCCGACAGGAACCACCACTGCATTTACTTCAGGTGCCTGTGCACAAAGGAAGTGTGAGTGCTTCTGGTATGTCGTGTCCCCCTTTTTGCTTGTGCCCCTGTCTAGGAGGAGCAGAGCCCAGGGCTGGGCTCTGTATTTCTCTCACCTGCTCCAGCACCTCCAGGCCTATTGTGCCTTGCCCTGCGATCACTGCTGGCTCCTGGTTGGGGTGCACCATGACTCCTCCTGTCTCCTGCACTACACGGGCTGCTGTTTCTGCTCTGGACTAAGGGAAAGCACAGATGGGTCACCTCTCAGGCTGTGCCATGTCCCTGGCTGGTCTCCCCTGTGCCTTACCTCATCGCTGGGCTCACATGGCACCAACGTGGCACCGTAGGCACGGATGGCAGCTTGCTTACACTGCGGGGCTGTCCGGGGCACCACGATGTAGGCAGGGATCCCTGTGTGATGAAAGGAGGCAAATCCAACAGCCACTGAGCACTGCAGGAGCAGGCCATGCCTTGCCTATGCTAGCTCCTGCACACGTTCAGGAAGTGGGATCTGTCTTCTCCAAGGGAGGCTGCCTCTGCATTTATGCTGGGCCCTCTGCCCGGCTACTCAGCGCTGGGGCTGGATGTCGGGGGGTGCCTTTACCTTCTGCCTGGGCAGCACAGGCAAGCGCCTGCCCGTGGTTCCCACTGCTGTGTGTCACGACGGCGCGGGGCAGCTCCCCTCCTGTGCGCTCGCTTTCCTCCACGAGGCTCCTCACGGCGTTCAGGGCGCCGCGGATCTGGAAGGAGAGCACAGGGCTCTGTGTCGCTGCCCCGGAGCTGGTGTGCTGGGCTGAGCGGGCAGGTGGGGCATCTCCTCTTTGCAGCCTTCCCTCTGCCCTAAGGCAGCACTTCAGGCCCCGTGGGCAGGTGGGGCATCTCCTCTTTGCAGCCTTCCCTCTGCCTAAGGCAGCACTTCAGGCCCCGTGCAGGATGTCAGGAGCCACATCTGCTTGGAGGGCAGGTGGGTACCGCCGCACGGCGAGTTCCCCAGCGCAAGAAGCGACCTTCGCCCCCGGGGGACTTGCAGCGCTACGCACCTTGAAGGAGCCGGTCCTCTGGAACAGCTCGCACTTGAAGAGCAGCCTCCGGCCTGCCATGCGCTCCAGCCCCGCCGGCAGGTGAGCAGGGGGGGTGCGGGGGACGCGGCCCCGCACCGCCGCTCCGCGCCGCACCTCTCCAGCCCCCGCGCGCGCGTCCGCGGCCTCGAAGCGCTGCCAAGTTGCATGTGCGCGCCTGCGCGTGCCGCGCCGTTGGCGGCGTGTCCTGCGCGGCCTGCCGTCTCGCGCCCCGCCCGCCCCGGCGCAGCCAAATGGCGGAGGGCTGAGCGCGTCGCGTCTCGGCGCCGAACGCGGGACATGTGGCGGGCCAAGGCCCGCCTGCCGCCGGCGGCGCAGGAGGTGACGGCGCACGGGGGCACCTGAAGAGCTTCGCGGCCCGCCTTCCCGCTGCCTCTCGCTGCACCGGCCCTCGCTGCCGGTTGGGTTGGTCGGGACGACAGCGGGGGTTCCTCCGGGTGGGACGCTCAGCGCCGGCCGGTCCCGCCGACGGACCCCGGGGCCGACCCCCGGTACGCTGAGGTCCCTGCGAGTAATGGTAGCGAGGAAATTGAGTGAGGCAAGCGGGTAACAGCCCCGGCCTCGGGGATCGTTAATCCGTGCGCGCTCCGGGCTGGGCTCCCTAACGAGTTTTTGTGTAAATACGGTTGAGGGAGGAGGAGAGAAACGTTACCAGGATGTAACCAAGAGGGGAAACGCGTCTTTAGCTCAAGCGGTCAGTTGGCAGAGGGGGGGCTGCTGGGGACGGCGGCCCCTGCACCAGCTGCTGCTGAACCTTTATGATGAAACTTTACTCCTTGTGTACTCGTGCTCACGTCTTGTGTTGTCTTTATCTGTCCCTTGTCGGTGCTTTGAGGAAAAACCTATTGCAGGATGTGTTTTGTAAATGAATCAGGCCAAGGATTTGGTCGACTTTGTTAGAGTTTCTCACTTTCTGCTCTTACTCTGTGATTTTCTGTAAGCCTTTACACAGGTTTTCAGCTCAGTTCTCTTAGACCTGCCCTGAGGATGGCAGGCTCTTTGCCTTTACTTAATATTTCTCCTAAAATATTTGTCACAGTATTCTTTGGTGCCTGGCTCGTTTGTGATGGGAATAACTTTCTTCTGTCAAATGTTTTCCCCCAGAAAACATGAAGGAGGTGAAGGAGCCGAGACACCGCAAGGACAACAGGCGCCCAGACCAGGAGATTTACAAGCCTGGCCTCTCCAGATTGAGGAGCAAACTGGTGCCATTAAAGCATGAGGCATCAGAGAAGGAGAGGAGCAGAGCTGAGGAGGGCAAGGAGGAGAGTGCTGGGGACTCTGTGAGAGCAGGGGCTCCAGCCGTGGAGGATTTCGGCAAAAGCGACGGCCCCAGGCAGAACGGCCCTTCTCAGGAAAGGGAAGAGACAGAGACCAAAGGTGGCCTGCAGAGCCAGGAGAGCTTGTCCAAACAGCCCACTGTGGATGAGTGGTGTTCCAAGACCCCCAGGAGAACCAAGAAACCGGACCAGCAGATCTACCAGCCTGGGAAGCGCCTGCATTCGGCTGCTAAAGAACCGTCCCTGCGGTCGGCGGCCGAGGAAGCCACCGGCAAGATGGAGCAGCTGAAACTCGAGAGGGATGAAGAGACTGAGAAAGGCGCTGGAAAAGACAATAACAGGAAAATTAAACCAAGCAAGGAGGATAGAGAGGGGAGCCAGGCGGGGGAAGGAGTGAAAGCCTCAAGGGGAGATAAAGGAAGACGAGCAGAGCGAAGCGACAGGACAAGGAGGGGCGATGAGGGGATGCAGGGGAAGCTGGGCTCTACCAAGCGATATTCCCGCACGGACAAGCGCCGGAGCCGGTACCGCACCTGCAGCACGAGCTCAGCTGGAAGCAGCAACAGCATAGACGGAGCCCTGCTCGTGGATGGGGTGGAGAGGCGCCAGGAGCGTGCCAGGGAGAGAATACGTCCTAGGAAGCAGCTCTCTGTGTCCTCCACTGACTCCTTGGACGATGACAGGTTCGATGAGGCAGAAGCATACATCTCCAGCAGCAATTCGGACAGGAAGAAGCATTCAGAGCAGAGTCGAGGTTCCAGGAGTGAGAGCGAATGGAGCAGCAACGGCAGGGAAGCGAAGGGACCCTTTCGAGTCACATTTGACAGCAGGACCATGAACAGGGATGTCAGTCTGACAGACACAGATAAAAAAAAGTCCCTGAAGGCATTTGCTAGTTGCAAAGACTCAGAGACTTTGGAGCCAAGGAGCCAGAGCAGGGAGCCCCAAGGGAGGGGCCGTGGGATTCTCTTCCTGCCTGCCAACACGGACCTGTCTGCCAGCACCACGGGTGCCCCCGAAACCAGTCACCCTGGGCCCAGGCTCCTGCTCGGCGGGGCTGGCAGCAAAGGCTCCCGGAGCCGGGGCCGAGGTGGCACCGCTCGCAGGCTGTGGGACCCAAACAACCCGGACCAAAAACCCGCCCTGAAGAGCCAGACTGCCCAGCTCCACTTCCTAGACACAGACGATGAAGTGAGCCCCACCTCCTGGGGGGAAGCCCGGCAGGCCCAGTCCTCCTACTATAAATTCCAAAACTCTGACAACCCCTACTATTACCCTCGGGCCTCCAGCCAAGGCCCCCAGTATCCATATGGTGGGTATTCCCTGCAGTATCCCATGGGTCCAACCAATGGCGTGTACCCAGGAGCCTATTACCCTGGGTACCCCGGCCAGGCGGGGCAGTACCTGTGTGGCCCACTCCCCCCCACTGCTCTGAGCCCCGAGATGGAGCAGCAGATGAGGAACATGCAGCAGCAGGAGCTCAGCAAACTCCTGCGTGAGGCTGGGAACCAGGAGCAGCAGCTCAGCAACCTCCTTTCCAGAGACCGCATCAGCCCCGAGGGACTGGAGAAGATGGCCCAGCTGAGGTTTGTGCTCAAGAAGGGGTGTGAGACCGAGTCCTTTCCGGGGTGGAATAGCAGGGAATGGTGTCTCCATGGGGATGTGGTATACTGAGGGTCTGTCTCAGAGACTGGGAGATGGGACAGAGGATTGCTGGTTTTTGATGTGCTGAGTCTGTTTGTGTGCCAGTGGTGTGTGGGCGTAGGAAACTGTGGGTGAGGATGTCATTTACCTGAGCTGGGAACTAAGCCATGGCTTATTCTGCTTGGTGGATGCCTTTCTGGTGTTGCAGAGACACAGAGGAGCAGGACAAGCACCTGCTGCAGATTTGGGGTTCTTCTTTTTCTTGCTGGAGCTGATTTCTCAGTTTCAGTGCTCTCAAATGCTCTCGGTGTTTGCTGTCAGACTTCTGCTTTCTCACCTGTCCTTGGTTATCCGCTGTCAGGATCATGTTGTGGGCTTCAGGGTGTGCTCAGGAAACATTTTGTAGGTTTCTGGTGCTGTGTGACAATGGCAGTGCCTTTCAGATGCTGTGTAGTTTTGCTCTTGATGCCTCTCAACACTGATGCTCCAGTGGAAGTAGCCTGGTGATGCCAGGCTAGTGAGAGAGAAATGACACTGGTGCTCTGGAGGGTAGTTAACATGGTCATAGCAAGTTTCTACTTGGCATCTTTCACCTTTGCTTGTGACCTCTGTGTCTCCAGGGCTTCTCTGGAGACTTATTATTTTCAGAGCTGACTGGCAGCAGATCTAGCAGGTGAACTCGTTTCAGGGCTTGTTCTGTGTTTTGGGGACTTGCACTGTAGACCACAGGGTGGGATATGTCTGTGCTTGAAGCAGCACTGGAGGTTTCAGATCTTCCTCAAGGTGCTGAGGTCACCTGGAGCTGTTGTCCAGAGGGAGAGAAAACACTGTGCAGCCTTGCCCTGGGAGCATCAGCATGGTTGGCCCTGTCCCTGCTGGTGGTGTCCCTTGTCCCCTGCCTGTGTCTGAGTGAGTGCTGCCAACCTGTTGTGGAGCTGTGTGTGGGTTCTTATCCGAAATCCAGCTGCAGAAATGTCCAGTTCTCTTGGTGTTTGTGCTGTCCAGGTGTATGTGTGCAGGGTTTGGGGACTGCATGGGGTTGGGTAGCAGAACCTCGCTCTGTGCTTTCAGCAGGAACCTGCCAGGCATCCTTCTCTTACCCTGTCAGGCTCTTCCAGGCTTTGCCACCTTTGCTGTCGTACTGTTTTCTGTAGGACTCGAAGCATTATAGGGAATAAGACTGACAAGGCAGGAAGAGCTGAGGATCTCCTTCACCATAAACTTGTCCCACATATTGCAGAGCTGTTTCTAGCCTGCAACTATCTTATTAAATTTGGGGGAGGAATTCTACTCCAGCATCTAGGCAGGGCTCTAGGTAGTGAGATTTCTGGGACTCTGAGGCTTTATTTCCTTTGGATGTGATGTTCCCAACTTGTCCATTTTTGAGGAAGTGTGATCTGTGTTTCAGTTGGATAGAAGGGAGGGAGATGGGGATCATTTTAATGGCAAGACCTCTGTTGCCCCCTGGTTCTTTGTGTGTTTGTTCCTGGCCCAGACTTTGTGCTCAGAAGGAGCAGAGCCTAGCAGCACGTGTGTCCACTGTGTTGGTATCAGGAGACACTTATGCCTTGCTGTTTCCAGTAGCAGGACTATAGCAAAACTCCTTGCTCTTTCCTAAGCCTGATCCATTCTGATTCACATGTACAAGGGAGATGGTCCTTTTGGACTTACCCCCTTGGAGAAGAAAGGGTGTTGGAGCGCAGCAGCTCCTGTCTCCCTTTGGGATGGGTGTGGAAGCAATGATTTGCCATAGTGCTGCTGACAGCTCATGCCTGCTGGACGTGAGCAGCAGGTGGTTCAGCACGTGTTTCCTGGCAGCTGGAGCCCGGGCAGTTGCTGTTGCATTGACAACTGGTTGTGTTTTGCTGCAGGGTGGAGATGCTGCAGCTCTACGAGCGGTGCATCCTGATGGATATCGAGTTCTCCGATACCCAGAACGTGGACCAGTTGCTGTGGAAGAATGCATTTTACCAGGTGATCGAGAAATTCCGGCAGCTCCTCAAGGACCCTCAGGGGGTAAATGCCCAAGAAATTCGGAACAAGCTGCTCCTGCTTCTGGATGAGGTAAGAAGGGAGAAACATCCTCAGATTCCACTAAAACTTTGGGTGGGATTGACTGGTGTTTAGAATGGGATGGTGTAATGGGGCAACTAGTCTTCTTGATCCTCTTTATACCTCCATGTGCCTTAGGTCATCCTTGTCCAAGGAGAATGCTCAGACAGGTTATGGTTAAGTGTGGCAGGTGCATGTCCAGGTGAATATTTATTATAATTTAAATCGGGCTTGTTCTGGTGTACTTTGTGTTAATTAGAAATTAATTTAAACTAAAATGAAACAAATACCCTGAAGTGTAAATA